CGGGTTGGGCCACGGAGACCCCCCCCAGCCTCTGCCTCCCCTTCCTTTCATGGGTTACTGCAGCGTGTCTTGTGTTGCGGTTGAGCCGCACGCAGGACTCGCTTTGGCTGCGTACGTCTGCCGAGGCGGGAAGGGAGCCGGCGCCAGGTTCCAGGGGCCTGGTGCCTTCTGAGAGAGGGGTCTCCATTCTGCCCCTCTCCCCCTGCCTGGGTCCTGCCTGGCAGCCCCAGTGAGCAGGGCAGGCCCAGGCAGGACTGCGTCCTCACCTCGCGGCTGTCTTGCAGATTTCTGGGCTGCAGGAGCAAACCAAAATCAATGATGGACAGCCTGGGATTGACCGATGGACAGAAACGTGACCCAACACTGCTGCTCTGGGACACCTCGCGGTGACGTCTCCCAGCGTCGGAGCCGATAACAGCCGCGCCGGTGCGGCCGGGGGGCCCCCTGCCAGGGCTGCCTCCGCCTGGGAGAGGGAGCGCTGGGGGTGCTGGGTGGGAAGCAGGCCCACCCCCATTCTGCGCCGTTCCTTTCTTCTGAGCTGGCACGGCTGAGGACGCAGGGACAGCATGGGACGTGCAGGCTGCGATGTTCACTGTCCATTTGTGTCTCCTCCGAGTTGCTCTCCAGGCCTTTCCCGATCCCAGGGCAGTGTCAGCTGTGGCTATCCATCCTCTTCCTCCCCCCTCCCCCATATTTTTTTGCGAGCTGCCCAAGCCCCCCGGCGGCAGCTGCTTTTTGGAAGAGGGGAGTAGCTCAGCCTGTCCTGGGTTGAGATCAGCCTTCGTGCTGGGGGCACCTCTGGCTTGGCAACGGGAGCTGGCAGCTCTCGGAGTGGGGAAACAAGGACCAAAGAGGGGGAAATGGCTCCGTCCCCTCCGGGGATTCCTGGATGGAGCAGCAGTGCCCAGAGCAGATGCAGCTGGGCTGTCCCTGTCCCAGGAGCAGAGGTGGTGTGGGGTCGGAGCCCACCGGAGTAGTGCTCTGTGCTGCTGTGGACCGTAGCGCTGTATCCGTCAGGAGCCTGACGTGTCCGGTTGTCTGTCTGCTCCCCGTCTGTCTGTCGTGCCGGTCTCGTGCTGTCTCCTTCCTTCGTACAGACGCTACAGCTGAGGGTAAATCCAGTCCTGTCCAAGCACGGTGCTGAGCTGACGAGCTGCAGGGACCGCACCGGGTGTGCGCCGGGCTGCCCCGGTGCCGGAGCCGCGGGGGCACACACCGCTCGCGTGCAGCGGTCTCCTGCTGCCGACGGCAATTTTTTAAGCTTATCCCGAATTCCGTGAAGCTTGTTTTCCTACATGATTGCATTTACTACTTGATTGTAGACTTGCCAGGTTTGCTCCTTCCTCCAGGCCACAAATAAAGAACTTTCACCCCGAGCCGTGACACTTCTCGTCTGTTTGTCCGTGCAGGGGGTTGATCCTGCAGCCTCTGACTGCTGGGAGCTTGGGAAGGTTTCCTTGTGCTCCTTGTCCTCTTGTGAGCTGGCAGTGGTGACAGCAAGAGCTTTAGGAGACCGAGTCATGTCTTTGGACGCAGAGCATCGCTGTAGTAGATCACTGCTGCACGAGCAAAGCCAGCAGATCCTGGTGGTCCCAACTGGGCCCCGAGGGAGCATGGAAAACCGCTGTTCCCGCTGACAGAGCCTTGTGTGGCCCCGTCCTTGGCGGCTGTTGGGCCCTGGCACCCCAGACTGGAGGTGCTTGGGGACCTGTCCCCTCCTTGGCCTCAGCTGGCCCTGGGGAGATGGTTCCAGCAGCCGTTGGGTCCCTTGGCAGAGGTGATGGGGAGGTGCTGAGGGACTTGGTGGGAGACATGCCAACTCCTTCAGAGGGGATGGGGATGTGGCCCTTGGACAGGGGTCTGGGCATCGTCCTTTGCCCAGGTGTCTCCTAGGAATTGCCTCCAGCTGCAATATCCCTCTTCCCAGATAACAGGGCAAGTATTTTTTCTCCTGGAGAAGGTACTTGTGTGATGTTTGTTGGTCCTGGCTGCCCAGGTGCAGTCTTCTCCTCTCCAACCTGTCCCCCTTGTTCTGGGAGGGTGCACCTATTTAACTGTGTCTTGTGTAACCACAACCGAGCGGGTTGGGGACTGTCTGTCCCTGTGTGTAGGGACAGACATGGTCCCTCCTGGGGGCTTAGCTTTAGCCAAACCCCTCAGTGAGAGCATGGGGGGCACAGAGACGCTTCACAGGCTCCAGGGGAGAACCTGTGCTGGGACCTGGTGACCTGGGACAGAGATGGAGGGAGAGCCCTGCACCCACGAGGAGCAAGGTGAGGCTTCCACCCTCCCTGAGGCAAGAAGTGCTGCAGGAGAGGCAGCCTGGGAGCTGGTACCAAGCCCAAGCTGTGTCACGAAGCTTCGGGCTCAATGCTGAGCGGGGCTTCCGGCCTGGCCAGCATGGGTGCCACCCCAAACGGTGAGGACAGAGCCAGGCAGAGCTGCCCGTGTTGCCCACCAGTGTGCAGAAACCTCAGTGGTGGCCTCAGGCTGAGCGGCG